CCTCTGTACCCTACTTATTCCCTTTCCATGACTTACTTTCCTACCTATCTTTTGTTATCAGCAAATTTAGCAACCGTACCTCTGGACCCCTCATGAAATTCATTGATATAAATTGTGAAATGTTGAGGGCCCAACACTGGTCTCTGTGGCCTACTACTTGCTACATCTTGTTAACAAGAAAATGATCCATTTACAACATTTCTGTGTTTTATGCCATGTAGAAGCTTTGATATGATGCCTTTGTAACCAATTCCTGGTCATTAACACATATCAAAAAAATAGCGCTCGTAATTCCCATCTTTGGGGAACAGTACTCTATACTCCTTTCCAGCCTGAAAAATTACCATTCACCAGAATTCTTTGCTTTCTGTCCCTTAACCACGTCTAAGACCCGTCTAATCTCAATTGCTTATTTTTTCCTAGCAAATTTATGATTTGATACTTTGTAAAAGTACTGTTTCCAAGTTTGTATACTAATCACTCAGATTTATATCAGAAACTAACATTTTGAGCTAGAACATGAGAGTCATTTGAAATATATGTGGCAAATTTAGCAAGTGTGATAGTAACAGATGTCTTGAATCAGCGTTTCCCAAATCGTTCCACATTTGGGATTTTCTTTGTGCCTTCTCTGAGTCTGCTGTAAACCAATTAATTGCAATGATTAGTCAACAATTTCATTATCATTGTTATTGTATCATAGCATTTATCGATTTGACCAGCAGGATGGTAGAAGATGAGCCTTGGTCATTTTTTATCTAACAATTTTATGTTCCTAACTGATTACTGTCCCTGAAACCTTCTGTTGCTGCTACAGCTGGTCTTTGCACTTTTTGGGGTCTCAGTCTCTCTATCCCCTGTCATCTGTTGCACAGTTCAGACAAGTGTGGCCAGAGAATTTTTCAGAATTTGAAACTGTTTTCTGCGAATTCAATATATTGCATACAATATAAATTTAAAATGAATTGAAAGCTGATTGTCTTTGAAGGGCAGTATTTTTCGTCTGTTGCAGGCTGCCTCTTAGTTCTCACCTCAGTTGAGGTCGCTAGGCTTTTTTTGTGAAAAATGTTAATTATTTTCATATTTTGAAACAAAACGGTTCTCAGGATTTTGAACCCTTGGGTTCTGAGTGCATTGCAGCTTCTTTCTGCTTTTCACAGCCCAAAGATGTTTATCAAAAAAATTTCAAAAATTTCACGTGCAGTTGTATTGTGCGGCAGAGAATGAGGCAGGCATTGAAAAGGGACCGATGTTTTTGAGATATTTGATAGCATCCTACAGAGAATCAGGGTGGGAAATGCAGTTCTTGAATCTATTATATCAACTCAAGAAATATTTCATGTATAACTCAATGGTAGAAATTCCAAGTATAGAGCAGAAAGAAAGCCAACTAACATTAGTTTTATAAGCAGGAGTTTATTTACTATTGGGGAACAAATATAATTCAAAAGGTTTCGTATTTCGTTTTGTAATTTGATTGGTTCTCTTTGTGGTGGTTTCCATTTGTTCCCTGACTAGTTGACTAATACGCAAAGTGAAAGATTTTTTTTCTCTGATAGGGAGTTTTAATTTAAGGGGAATTTGAGCTTTGCATTCTGTGAAAATGTCAAAACATTTCTCAAGCATTAAAATGATACTTAAATAAGATCAAAATACTGTGGGTACTGGAAATCTGAAATAAATGCTGGAGAAACTCAGCAGGTCTGGCAGATCTTTGCAGAGAGAAACAGAAGTAACGTAAGAATCATATCAGACTTGAAATGTTAACTGTTTCCCTCTCCAAAGATGCTGCGAGACCTGCTGAGTTTCTCCAACATTTTCTGTTTGCTTAAAATGCCACTTGTTCTGTGGAGGCCTAACAAATCCTGTGTGTTATGCTACAGTATATACATATACTGTTATGTATACAGTATTTTTTGAAAAAAACTCAGCTGAAAGTCGACAGCACAAAATTGTAATTAGTTCTACAATAAATAAAAGTTTAAAACTCCGTTATGTACATTACCGGCTAATAAAATGAATTAGGGTTTTTTTTGAAATTGTGAAACCAACTCTTTCTAAATCCTCTGGCCCAAAAACTAAAAGAAGAAGCCAGCCAAGAAGAAATACAAGCATGAATAGGACTGACGCTCTGAGTTTAATAGGTGATTATCATGACTCCAGGATAGCAGATTGGGGAACCCAGTCACTCCATTTAACTGAGACATTTTTACCTTAACCTAATGGTCGCAGTCATATAACACAAAAATAAAACAGAAATATGATTTTCTTATGGAAAAAGGTCAAATTATATATTTAAATACTCACCTGTATTCCATAAAGTGGCAGAATGCTAAAAAAATTACAAAGCCCAATGAGGTTTCCATTAAAACATTAAATTAAACAATGTAATACTCCCTGATGATTATCGACCAATTACCTGCCAATAATACACGAGAGTAAAGGTTCTTGTGATAGATACAGTGATGGTATCCTTGCCTTTGAGCCAAAAGGCCATAGTCAATTCCTACATGTTCCAGTGGTGTGTCCTAACACAGGAACTGGTTGATTAAAACTAGAAAGAGCGAATTGAATGGAATAGTGTGACAATTCAATGAAATTAGAAGGAAACTGGCAAAAACAAGGAAGTCTCAAGTTGTGTTGTAGGTAGTGATGAAGTGCTTAGTGGGAGGATCGCCTGTGAAAAATCTTGAAGCTTGACGAGTGAGAGGAAAATGAAATGAATTCGTGGCGCTCACGCATGTCTCATGTCGGGGGGTCGGGACTACAAAACACAGAAAAGCGCGTTAGAGGTGCATATTGTATCTGGATAGCTGAGAGAACAGAAATGGATGTATGGGAGAGGGAAAACATTGAACATTCATGTTATTTTGTCAACTGTGTGACTTGTTCAGCAATTGAGTTTATCAAGTTGTAGAGATGCTAAAAACTGGATATAGAGTCACCTATATACACCTATATACAGTCACGTTTAGGAACGTGTGGAAATTTTCGTTTAAAGATATCTACAGGAGCGGTTTTATTTATCTCTATGTTGAACTAAAAAAAAATTGAGATTTGAATGGTATTGCTGCTTCCTCTCTGCCAATGGTGCTCTCAGAACCCCGCTTCCCATTCGGACTATTTCCAAGTTTGGGTTGCTAAGTGAGGTTCCGAGAAGGCTGCAGTTTGGTGAAGTGCCAATTTTGGAAGGAACAAGCGACACTGCTATCTCAGGAATGTTGCAGCGGGATAAATATCTTTGTTCTGAGTGGAGTGGTGGCCAGCTAAGTCCTTCTCACAAAATGTTTTGTTCGAGACAACTCAATTGCGCTCTCAGAGAGTGTATATTTTCTGCGCGGTGAAATTATCTACACGGTTAAATAATTAATTTGACATTTGCATTTATACTCCATTCTTGTCTGTAGCCAGATCCTGACATGATTGTATATTATTCACTATAAGCATGAACGACCAACTCTAAAGGTGGCTCAATAGGTCCCGCCGGCTTCCCTCACGTTAAATCTGTCACCTACGATAGGTTAGAGAAAGAATCACCTTCGAAATACGTTTAATTGAATCACTCTGATCTCCAACACCACATGCCTTAAATAAACTCCTGTGAACCGATGGTCTAGTTTATTAAAGGAAATCATTACTCGTGTGTTAAATAATGCACAGAAATTGTATACATATTTGATCAGCTAGAACTGAGCCATTGATCACAGCCACATCTGGTCCTAAAGACAGAGTGCCCCGAGTAAACTGGCCAAGTATCAGGAGGCGCAGATTTAAGGTGTTTGGTAGAAGGATTAGAGGAGACATTAGGGAAAACATTTTCACAAAGAGGAAGGACGGTGTCAAGAATTAATTTCCCAGTTTGGTGGCTGAGGTGGAAACCCTCAACTCACCTAAAAGAAATCTGGATCTGCACCTGAAGCACAAGGCTACAGACCAGTGACTGAACAGTGGGATTAGAATCGGTGGCTAGTTTATTTAGACATGATGGGCTGAATGGCCTATTTGTGCGCAGTAACGTTTCTATGTTTCTAATGAAAGGATATTAGAAGGTGAAGGGTAATACTGGACAGATCAACAAGAACCCGTGACCATGTCAGACCATGGTCAGGAAGCCAATCTAAAAACAGCAAGTGGTTATAACTGTTAACAGTGGTCATTTCGGAATGAATGTTGACCATATATTTCCAAGAAGGGTTCTATTGAATTTTGGTAGAGTCGGAATAAGTCTTTTTTTAACGCAATGCCTCAACGGTGGCGTGTGACCACTTAAAATGGTTAGGAAAACGTTAAGTCTAAAACGAGAAGAGTGTACGTGACAATCACTCCGGTTTACATTCCAATGATTGAGTAATGAATGATGACTGGAGATATCAGAGGCATTACGAACTGAGTCTCTGAGGAAGCAGACGAGTTGAAGCATTAATCACTTGGAGCATATTCTGCCAGCCACACAATTCATGCCATGTGCGCTGACAAAAGGTACAATCATTGCAACAGAAAAAAATTTCCGTTGCTGAATAAATCAATCTGATTAATTAAATTGTCCACCATCTCCACAGATATCAATTTCAAACTACTTGTTTCTGATGAAATTACTTCGAGGCATTAACATCGTTAGTGCTACCTCTTCAACTGTAAAATCAGAATTATCATGTAGGATATTTTTAAATCCATAGATTATAGTATAATTAAGATGCAAACAGTTTGGGAAGTATAAATATTTGTTGTAGTAAATGGTAATCCGATTAAATATCTTCGCTAAAGCAACGTTTAATGTTCAGTTCACAAATATCAGGAGTTAACTTTTGAGTGTTTAACTATATCTGGTGAATTTATAGTCTAGAAATTAATTGCCAGTTGATTGCATTTATCATACCCATCAAATGATGTGCGCATTCGGTCTGCAGGATGTGCTCTGGTATTGTCACGTCTTGTCTGCGAGCCGTCCATCAATTGAATCCCCGCCCCGTGTGCAATTCTATAAAGAGAGACTCCGGCTCTGGACTCAGTCAATGCGAATCGAGAATAACAGTTTCACGTCGATCTCTGCGCGAAAGACTTTATAAGGATACACCACAGAGTTACAGGATTGAAGACGTTTGGAAAATCTCATCAAGTAGGCTTTGGAGGTAAGTCTGGAATGTTCTACCTTTGGCTAACTTAAACAACTTTCTGATAAGTTGCACCTCTCACCCATTTTCCTTGATAGCTGCCAGTATTTTGTAATGTTAACGAGATGATGCGACAGATAGCAGTAATCAGAACAATGTATACTTCATAGCAGGTTGTACTCGCTTGTGTCTCGAAGCATGTTGCTGTACTTGAATACCTCAGAACCCGCTGTTTGTTGATGATCTTTATCTAAGCATCATTGTTCATAAGACAAATGACCAAAACGAACCTGGCAGTGACATGTGCTGAGCGGAGATTTTTGATCCCCGAAAGCTGGGGAAGACTGACCGTGAGCGCGTTGCTGACACATCACCAGAACTGGAGAAGTGCCTATCAGCAGCAGTGTGCTCACGGGCTGAAAACAAGCAGGGCTTGGAAACAGGCGAAAGCCCTAATGCTGCCTATTTTTGTTTTCTTTCAGCAGGTTTCACCATGAGGATGGTTCACGTTGCTCTGCTGTACTGCTGTTTTGTCTATTCAGCCTATGCCAATGCGGATGCCAAATTGGATGTAGCTTCGGCATTTAAAAAAAGGCAAGTTTACCATTGTATCTCCTTCCTCCCCACCACACCCCGGGGTTTTGTATCGCTGTCCCGCTGAATCGTGATATCATGCTTATACTGTTTCTTTTTTAAACGGAGGAGCTTCAGCAGTTTGTGACTGTGTCTTTTCCTTACCGGGCGTGTGAATTTGTGTTCGCAGGTTGAACGCTTGGGCTTTAAGCCGAGCAAAGAGGGATCTGAAAGCTTCCAAACTGAAGAGTCAGGGTCTGATAGGAAACAGCCAGCAAGAGTTCGTGAGGACAGAAGACGTTAAGGAAAACTTAAACCTTCAGTCCAGGTAATGAAGGCAAGTCCTTCGAGCGACTAACTTGAAAAAAAAACGGTCCCAGAAGGTTTTGCAAATATAGGCGGTGCTCGGGCAAACCTCACAACACAATAAATTGTGGATTGATTGGATTTGAAGTTGAAAGCTAAACTGGAAATAGCAGGGGGACTCCAGCTAATCTGGAACTGCAGAACTGTTAGATAAATAAGAGTGTAGCTGAATGGGTTGCATTGGTTTGAAATGCACAAGATTTCACGCTAAGAAACTAGCGGAAAATACAGGGGAGAACCGAGTGCGATTCAGGACTCGCTGTCCTTTCGCTGTTTGAGAGATTCCCAAGGGTCTCAGAAACCTCTAAATGTACTTCGTGAAAACATGTATATCAAAGCTGCCGGTAAATTCCACCTCAATTTTTGGGTTTATAAACTGTTCCTGCTATGTTACTTTTTTAAAACCCGGGCTGATGTTTCCCTATGTTTGATATTATACCCGGGTTGTAAGGAAAACAAATCAGTTGACACTGTACAACTGTGCTCAGTTGGTCTGAGCGCCAGTTTCTCGGGTCTGTACTGACCGTGTGTGTGTTTTCTCTCAGCAGCTCAGACGCGCACATCCGCGTCAAGCGCTACCGGCACGGCTTGCCGCATTTCCCCCAGCTCCACCTGAACCGGCCAAGCTGCCAACTTGGGACGTGCCAGGTCCAGA